ACCCGGCCTTGCAGCCGCAGGGCGAGCGCCATCAGCACCCCCCGGCGGGTACGCCCGCCGCGAGGCTGCCTGCGCCTTAAGGAGCCTCTCTGGCCTCGCCCTTGAGCCCCGCTCCGCCCCAACTAAGCCCCGCCCCATCTACCCACGTCCCCTGCTTCACCCACCCACGCGAGACCCTTACCCAGCTCCGCGGTCGCCCAACTTGCCCAGAGCCCGGTGCCACCTTCAGCACCCAGCTCCGTGACCCCACCAGACCCTTAAGCCGCCGCGGTTCTTCCTAGCCCCGCCCACCTCCCTGACCCCACCCACCTTTACTGCGTCCCACGCTCGTCTCCCCAAACGGCTCCTCCCTCCAGCCACGCCCACCACTAGTCCCATCCCCCGAGACCCCGCCCCTTGGCTATCCCAGCGCTCCTCTCACGGCTCCTCACGTGGACCCGAGGCCTTGGGCGGACACGCGACAGCCCTGTCCGTGGAGCAGGGCAGGCGGGCCGTGCGCCTCGGGAAGATCGGGCAGGTGACCGTCATGGCACCGGAGTAGAGGCACAAGGACAGGAGGTGCAGCTAGAAGAATCGAAAATTGCGGTGACCGATGCAGTTATTGACCCACTTGCAGGGGTGGTCAAAGTCCTGGGTGACAGGGAGAGGAGGTCTGGACCTGTCTTCTGGCTCAGCTTCCATCACCCCTAAATCCTAAGGCCTTTCTCAGTCCCTGTAGGCCACCTGTCCTTGGCCCCATGCACTGGCTGCCATCCCCAGGAGCCACGAAGTCCCTACCACGGGCATTTTCCTTGCTAGAGCAGAGTTAGGGCTCTGTGGCTCATAAGGTCCCCTGGACCTTTAGGGACAAGACCTGCCTGATCTTCTGTGAAACACATCCTAGTGTAACTTTCGGCAGGACATAGAATATCTCTGGGCCTCCACTTTCTCATGATTAGTTAGATGAGGATGATAAATCCTTATTCAGCCAGCGTCCAGCACTTGCAGGCTGTGCACAGGAGAGAGATGCCCATCCAGAGCCCAGAAGACCCACCAACTTGCATGCCCAGATGAGGACAGGTACCTAGTGTCAGCAAGCCCAGGGATGGGACAGGGGTTGTCTTTCTTCCCCTGGGATAGAAGTGGCAAGAGTCAGCCTTGCAGGACAGGTACAGGCACAGAGGCAGTGACCTGTATGCATGACCAAGAGTGGCCGGGAGTTGCTGCCACCCATGGCCTTCCAGCAGTCCTGGGAGCTCCTGGTCCCAGCCTGGTGCTGGGGGATGGCTGGCAGGTGGGCAGACAGAGGGGCACTCACCTCCACACAGATGCTGCACCAGGGGCAGTGGTAGGTCCGGGGTGGGCGGTGGAAGCAGCACTTTGGACACCAATGCAGGCGGAAGGCCTGGTGGTTCACCCACACCACGTGCACCATCATGGGGTCCTGCTCCACAGAGCCTAGCAGGGGAAGAGGATTGGACAGCAGCAGGATGCCCTTTGATCATTCTGCTGCTCTGGGCAGCCCCACAGCTTCACAGGGCACAAGGAAGGTGGGGGAGAGGCAGGCAGGAGAGTCCCTGTCCCCATTGAGCAAGCTGACCAAGCTCAGAGAAGCTGGTGGTCAAAGGGAAGGTGGGTTTCCAGGCAGAAGTTTTCTATAGAACTCAGGCCTTTGGAACAGTGACCGAAGCTTAAGTCGTGTGTGCCCTGGGAGGAGGACGCTTGAACTGAGTGGTCTGGAAGACCCCCCGGCTTCTCACCCTGGCCTGCCAAGCCCTCCCTTCCTGGACAACTGGGAAACAGAATTCTGTATCTCCACATCTCGGCTTGGGGAATGAAGTGCCAGGGCCAAAGCAATGAGGATGTGGAGTGAAGGGTGCTAAGGCCTGAGGAGAGGAGATAGAAGGAGCACTTCCAGGTTCATTCCTGTGGGTACAGGCCCGTAGGGTGCCACCTCCTTCTCCCAGGGGGCTGAGGCCTCACCTTGATGTAAGATGCCAGGGTCTGAGAAGTTGAGTGAAACGAGACTGAAGAAGGTAAGGGCAAAGAGAAGGCCTGTGATGATGGGAAAGGCCCACTCCCCATTCTGAACCTGCCACCTGCAACTGAGTCCAGAGGCACACTCAGTCCTGAGCTGCAGCAGCTCCAAGTTCCTGCTAAGGGCCAGGCTCGCCCAGGTCAGGACCCACAGACCTTAAAGGCAGCTCAAAATATCCAGGCTCTAAATATCCAGATGGGCCCATAAAGTCTCCATTAAATGTCACCGGCATGACCAGTCACCTGTAGCTCCCCATATTCACTAGGTACCGTAGACCTCTGTACCTTAGCACATTGGGTTCCCTAGGCCCAGAATATCTCCTCTCGTTGACCTCTGCCCTCCTCTTCTGCACTCCCGTGCCTCTATGCTATCATGATCCCTTATCATTCTGTCCCCTTTGCTGTCTCTTTGTAAGAAACCTGATGGCTTGCAAGGGAGACTCAAGGGAATGCGAAGAAGAGGCCACTGAAAATGACCAGCAGCATCACGTTGAAGGCAGAAAACAGGCTTGGGAGGAACCAGGAGCATGGGAGCAGCAGTGAGGGCTGAGGCTCCTTCATGAGGGGTGCAGCATCCTTTGAGAGTGGCATGGCTGGGCCCCCAGAGAGATCAGAGCCACCAGGCTTCCTCCCCCATGCTGGCTCCCAGAGCCCTATGGCCAAGGCAGCCTTGGGAGCCACAGCCCAGAATACAGAGAGAGAAGCTCCAGTGTGACATCACAGAGACCAAGGAGTGGAGGAAGGGGGTTCTCAGCAGAACTGTCTGCAGCCTGCTTGGGTTGTTTCCAGTGACTGGTACTTCCAACAAACAGAAGGCCACCGCACCCTGACTGGGGACTGAGAGGTCCTGCCCCTGCGAGACTGGCATCGATGGAGACCATATGACCTTACAGAAACACGGGGCGAAAGTGGGTGATTCTCGTCATCCCCTCAGGCCCAGTGCTAACTGAAACAGGCAGGGCTCATTGCTCCCCCATCTCCATTTCTTCGTTTTTGCGGTGACAAAATTCCAGTGTGGGGGAGGGGGCAGCAATCTGTTCGTCTTAAATAATTTCCCAGCATCCCTTGTTTTCAAGTCTGGCTTCATGGCACAGCTCTGGACAATGAGACATAAGTGAATGTCTGTTGAGGTTTTCTGGAAAAGCTTTTGCCTTCTCAACAAAAGAGAAGAAGATGCAGTTGGCAGAGCCCTTTTTTTGGCCTTGAACCTAGATGTGCTGACTGGGGTACCACTTGGACCCATGAGGCAGCAAGGCAGCATACCACTCAGAAAGAACTTGAGAACATTCTTGAGTTCTTTCTGCCCCAGCCCCGAGCGGCCTCCCTCTGAGTTGCTTATTATGTGAGAAAATAACTGGGCTTTCTGTTAAATGCAGCTGACATTTGTCATTTGCTTTGGCCATGAGCATCTGAATCCCTCACGTGTTTGGAGGAGTCCTCATGCCATAAGTCTTGATGAGGGGCAAAGACCCTTTCCTCATCCCAACTGGAACTGAAAATGGCCAGATGCCTTTGAAGGCTCTCTCAGGCTATTGCATAGGCCTGGGACCAGATGTCACCAATTAGCTACAAAGCTGCTGCCACCAACTGACCAGGGTGTCTCTGCTGAGATGCAGCAACTTTGTGTATGTCAAAGTGTAATGCCCATTTCGAGGTACTTTAATTTCAACACTTATTGCATTGTTCTACAAGGTGGATAAAATATGTAACTCCAAGATCCCTAGTTTGTTTTTAAAACTTATACTAATATTGAATTGGGGTCATTGAACTGGAATATTTTAAGGAAATTAATTTGATTAAAAAACATTGCAATATACCTCATCAACACACAATTATTGTTACTTATATCCTTTTATCTATAGAAATATGTTCTTTTCTGTGTGACTATCAAATTAAGAGATTTTGGTGGGGGTTTTTGGGGGGTTTATTTGTTTGGTGTTTTTTGAGTTGGATTCTCACTCTGTCACCCAGGATGGAGTGTAGTGGCACACTCAGGGCCACCACAGCCTCAACCTACTGGGCCAGGCAATTCTCCCACCTCAGCCTTCTAAGTAGCTGGAACTAAAGGTGCACGCCACCTTGTCTGGCTAGTTTATTTATTGTAGAGACAAGGTCTTGCCAAGTTGCCCAGGCTGGTCTCAAACCCCTGGGCTCAGGCAATCCTCTCGCCTCCACCTCCCAAAGTGCTGCGATTACAGACATGAGTCACCGCACCCAGCTTAAATTAAGAGAGCAAAATCAATGCAGTAAGAATAGTGTCTTATAATATGACTATAAGATTATACTTTAAGTGCTAGTTTTAAAGTTTAGATATTTTCACTTGTCCTATTTAATAGAACGGTATATATGTATGCATATTAAAAATAACTACCGGCCAGGCATGGTGGCTCAGACCTATAATCCCAACACATTGAGAGACTGAGGTGGAAGTATTGCTTGAGCCCAGGAGTTTAAGACCAGTTTGGGCAATATAAATGAGATCCTGTCCTATTTACAACAAAAAAATAAAAATAAATGCATACACATGGAAGTATGTTAACATTAATTACTTTTAAAAAGATGAAGGTGGGCAACCTTTTTGGATCCCCTCCCGCTGTGGGAGCTTTTCTGTCCTTCCAATATATCCTGCTTTCTCAAAAAAAAAAAATAATAAAGTATAATAGGAGAAGAGAATCGGTAGCTTGGAAAAGAACTGACCTTTGAATATCAGTCTGTTTTCCATATGATGCAGTAAAATGTTACTTTCTTTCTGTCTATTCTACCCAATGGTAGAGTGTTATGCTCTCACTTGACCTAAAAGGAATTTTAATGGGTTTATTCCTACATGTGTTTTTGGAAATTTCATAGCTATAGACAATTATAAGCAAATTAATAGCATAATAGGTGATTCCTCACTTAAAAAAAAACAAAACTGGAGGCTGTGCACGGTGACTCAACTGTAATCCCAGCACTTTGGGAGGACAAAGTGGAAGGACACTTGAGTCCAGAAGTTGGAGATCAGCCTGGGCAATGCAGCGAGACCTCGACTCTACAAAAAATCAGCTGGGTGTAGTGGCGCACATCTGTAATCCCAGCTACTTAGGAAAATGAGGCAGGAGGATCGCCTGAGCCCTGCGTGGTGAGCCATGACTGTGCCACTGCACTCCAGCCTGGGCAAAAGAGTGAGACCCTAACTTAAAACCACCCCCCCAAAAACAAAAAGCTGGGAAATGATGAATGCTCTGCTATGCCATGTCAAAGAGTGTTAGCCTGATTAAGAACACAGCCAACAAGCACCATGACCACTTCTTATCCTCTGGCTCCTATACTCTTATCTGATGACTCTCTTTGCTACTACCATTTTCTGATACTGGGCCCTAAATTCAGAATAATAAGACCATGTGTCATTTTAGCTGCTAGGTGGCACTGACAGCTTGCTCCCTCCCCTCATAACCCATGACATGGCACTCTCAAAGAGGGATGTTAAAAACATACAGATATAGTTAACATGTTCCACATGTTCTTAGTGTGCTCAATGATATTAGAAGAGCCTCTGTTTGTTGGGCCCACATTGTGGGGTAATCTGATAAATAAAGGAGAGGATTTCATTTAGGATTTGTATAGGTAAAGGGTCACCCACAAGATTAAGTTTTCCAGTAATTGGCTAGTTTTGCAGGGTGAGTAAAAGCACATGAGTTCAAGTGCACGACATGATACAGACCATCCACTAATTGACTTCTAAGAATATTTCATTCCTAGGTTTAAAATAATATGTCTCTCGGCTGGGCATGATGGCTTATGCCTATAATCCCAGCACTTTGGTAGGCTGAGGTGGGAGGATTGTTGAGCCCAGGAGTTCAAAACCAAACTGGGCAACATAACAAGACCTCATATCTGAAAAAGTAAACATAAAAAAACACTACGTCTCTTCACAGCAATTGTGGCACACACTTCACAGAACAGATTTGTCAATGTTTTCCCTGACCATGAATATATCATCTCCTTGGGCTAACGATCACTTAAGTCTCTAAGCAACACATCTGGGGTGAAGGGGTCCAGCCCCTTTGCCAGGTCGTGAGATCTCCTGAAGGAGAGACGGATAGGCAAAAGATGAAAACAATATACCTGGACACCTGCTTCCTGAGCAGATGACATCCTTTATTAGTTAACAGAAAGCTTTTATAGCATTTGTAAAAGGGGCAAGACAAAGAAAATTCTTTCACGTACATATGTTTTAAAAGTTACCACCATCTAGCGGTCTTTAGAAGAAACTAATAAGCCAAAAACACTATCTACTTTCAGTTAATGAGTCTTGAGATAAGTGTAAAAGGAGTTTCACTTAAACTAAACATAATGCATACAAGGTTTACTTTGACTTCGGTTCCACATCACTTGTCTAATTAAAAAAGCCTTAAAATCACTAAAACAAAACTATAGATTGTACATAGTGATAGTAGGAATATGAAGCCCATTAACTTGACCAAACAACAGTGGCTAGCTTTTAAAGAATAACTATGAAAGTCACTTACTGTGAAAATACATACACTAATCTTTACTCTGAATAAACATATGAAGTGAACTAAACATAATGAAATAAACTAACACAACTAAAATTATTATGGTTGCATAATTGCCAATGAGCTTTTAAGTTTAGGATAATGGTGATTTGGCTGTTTTCCCTTATGCTTGGCAACCTCCTGGAAAACATCTTTGTCTTAAGATAGGCAGTGGAGCAATTATTATTATCTTTGAGGCACCAATTTTATCATTGTGTGAACTTAAACTTATGAACTTAAAACAATCTTTAAAGTAGCTATAGCACTAAAACTTAATTAATGACACAAAGTAAAAATCTTGTTAAACATAACCAGCCTAATAATTTTTGTCAACCCTCATACATATGTATATTGATTATATAAACTTATATGATATTACATTTACCAATTATGAGTAATACATGGATAAAACAATTATCATGTCTAGAATAGCATTGCCAGCAACTTTCTTCAAAAGAGTCCCAAATTACAGTCCTTGAAGTGCTTCAAGAAAGTTCCCAGGTGCACGGTTCTTCATATAGCAGTTCTTCTCTTTTGGGCTTTTACGACCTTCAAAGCTTTTGTAATCGCCTTTCTTGTTCAGGCGTCTTCCTTACTTTTCTCTTATCCTGCAGTGTTTATTTCTAAAGAAAACTCAAAAGAAGCTTTTAATGACATTTCCCAGGCCCCCAAGGTTGCTTTCTGTATTTAGTTAATTATCATAAAAGTATCTAATTAGTATATTATGAATTCAGTGAAAACCCGCTCTATAAACGTTTACTTAAAATTTAACTATAGAATTAAGTAAAAACCTTAACGATTAATCTTTATCCTAAGTCTGTGAAGACAGTGTTGTAAATCACCTACATAACTTCTAGATAAGTGTTAGAACTTATAATGAGCTCATAATGAACTTACCATAAACTTGTGCTTCTAAAAAATTTTATGCCTTAAACACTAAACTGCATAATTCTAAATCAAATAAGGAGTAAATATACTAATATCTTTTTATTCAAGCAATATCTAGTAATTTATAACCAAGTGAAAGAAAGCATTCTTGATGTGCTTCAGAGTTTA